CCTCTGTGAATGATATTAGGAGGGTGAGTACCTGGAGGAGGGCCTTCTCTGCGGTGGCACCCCACCTATGGAATGCGCTCCCCAGAGAGGTCCGCCTGGCACCGTCGTTCTTTGTTTTTCAGAGCCAGGCTAAGACCTTTTTATTTAAAACTTATTTTAAGTGTTAATTTATTATGTAGGATTTTTTTTAAAAAAATAAGCCGAGATACACTGGGTTTTAATATTTTTAGTGTATAATTTTGGTATGATTTTGTTTGTTTTTGTTTTTGTTGTGAGCCGCCCCGAGGCTTTGTTGCGATGGGGGCAGCATAGAAATGTTTCAAATAAATAAATAAATAAATAAATAAATAAATAAAGGACGCCATACGCCAATGTTATGCCAAATGGTGTCTCTTTTGGTTCTCTCTTTTTCAATGATGTTTTTCTTCTTTTTTGGCAATGTGTAAGAGACCACCTTAGGCTAATATTCACTTTATTACCACACAGATGATGCCCACAACATCTTTGGTGTCAGTACAAGCAAGGCTAGCAGAAACAGACAAGACCTTTCGCAAGCCACTTGCATCAGTGCTTTTGCAGCTGTCTTAACTTTTCTCCCTAAAATGCCCTCAGAAGGGCAGAAAGTGCAAGAGCAGCTGTGATGCACCACAGGAGTCTAGAATTAATCTTGCCTTCTGCTAAACACAGCCTTGTCCCTCAGTTTCGGACTGCAATAATTCCTAAGGGGTTGAAAGGATTTTAGCAAATTGTTATTTTTAGATCCTAGGAATAATGCACATGCCCTACCTTGAGTGTTGAGCCTCTTTCAGCATGAGGGAGGAAAAGCTGTCAGGGTCACATTCCAGGAGCAAGCAAAAGGACAGGAAAAGCAGTGGGGACACAGTATCAAAAATACTCCAAATACCAGCACCTTTCAAAAAAAAATCTCAAAGCTCTTACTGATGCTAAATAAGCCTCAGAAGAGGGATTTCTGTTTTTTAGAATGGGAGAAAACACATACAAGGTAGAGAGCTACCAAACCATAGGTGGTCAGGGAAAAGTGGATGCACTGGGACTCCTAGAGAGATGAATATGGCCCACAGTCCTGAGATCCAATAGTCATCACATGGAGGTTACTAAAACCAGCCTCCCTGTGGAAAGTATCCCACGTCTTGGCTTTAACCCCAAAGCTTCACGTAGGCATCATGCTTGAACAGGGTCTACAATTGCCTGTAAATGACATGAAACGACACAACTCGTCCTCAAAATCTCTGTGTGCACCTGTCTTAATAGGGCTGTGTGTAGGCAAGCCTGACTGGAGATTTCACTTGAACACAAGCTGATCTCCCTCATTCGGACCTTTCTGCTCAAGGTCAGGGGCAGGGAGGGCTGCAG